GCCACGTTGGTGGCAGAGCAGGTGTAGACTCCTTCGTCCCTCAGGTCCACCTTCTCAATCTGGAGGGGAAGGAGGAAGGAAGAGTGGGCACCTTGAGGATGTGACTTGGAGGGTAGGTAAGCAAACAGAACATGGCAAATGGCCAGGCTGCCACTGGGGTCAGGTTTGGGTCTAGGGGTGGAGTCATGAGGCCAGCACTTAGGATTCTCTGGGTTCCGCTGACCCTTGGGCATGCACACCCACTCCACTCTCTCCCCTCTGTGGCTGCAGCTCCCAGGACCTAGAATAGTCCACGGGCCTGCCCCCTCTTCTGGTCCAGCATCCTACTGACCTCCCTGTAAGTGAGAACCCATCCTACTCCTTGGCTACCAGAACTCCCACCGGGGTGCCCTCCACCCATGCCCAGCTGACCCACCAGCCCTAGAGCCCTGTCCATACCTTCAGGTTTCCCCCCGAGGCTGCCAGGGCCACCCCATCCTTCCACCAGCGGAGGCTTGGAGCAGGTATCCCAGACCCCACACACTGGAGCGTCACAGGCCGCAGGAAAGGGGCTGTGATATTCTCACCTCCGAGGATGTCAACCCGTGGGAACTCTGGCCGGGGAGAGGCAGGAAGGTCTCAGGTCAGGGCCAGGGGAGATGCAGGGGGCACCCAGGGGATTGAGGAATGGCATTTCAGGATTGGCCAAGGGTTGGCCTCTCGCCTCTACCTGCCCCCTCAGACACCTGGCTTTGGAGAAATGCTCCAGGCTGGGAGCCAGCACTTCAGACATTCTCGAAATCGACCACTCCCGTGTGCATCCGCTCCCGGGTGCACAGAGCGTCCACTCTGAGCCCGGGTCAGCGCATCACCCAGGACTCTACGGCAAAGAGCAGGGGCTCCCGGGCTTCCCTTTGGGGCCCACGGAGCCAGGCAGTCACCACGGAAAACTGAACAAGTCCTCCCACTAGGATGGCCAGCAGAGACCGGGCTGTGCAAGTCAGTGTGGGGAAGCGGGGAAGCCTCTGCAGAGGGGGGAACGTGTTCAGGCAGAGGGAATAACATACACAAGACAGACGGATAAGGGAGCAGATGTATTCAAGGACGTGGGAGAAGCTCCATGCGGTCGACACAAAGTGCTGGTGTGTGGGAAGGGAGGCTGGGGAGGGCAGCGGGGGGCCTGGACAAGGCAGAGGACAAGGCGGACCAGTGACGAGACCTGCCACTCACACCTGCCTCTCTCTGGCCACCTGGGAAGCCCAGCCTGGTAATACTAGCCACAGAAGACCAATCCCATGCCCTTCCCAGGCCTTCCTGGGGCATAGCTAGCAGAGGCCTCTGACTCCG